GTTTTTTGCAAGTAAAAAAATACCTGAATTTAAATACCTGAATTTGTCCATATTTATAAGATTATTCACCCACACACACATATACAGGTTTTCCTAGAAAATGTCTGTTTCTTCTTGGCCCCATCCAGAATTTATTTTTGTTTAAGTGAGTGAGGTAGAAACCCAGATTTATTTTTTCTCAGTGGCTAGCTGGTTGTCTGGAATCAAACATTAAGTAAATCATCTTTTTCCCACCAAGTAGGCAGTTACCATTATCAAATACTGATTTCTCCTCCTTGGGTGTACTGCTGAACTCTACTCTGGTCCACTGCTCTATTTCTGTATCATTACCAAACTGTTCTATGCTACTCTAATTTGTCATAATTACCAAAGTAAGAGCATACAATAATTATCCGATAGGGTATTTTCTGGGATTACTAAAGATGGAATTTCCTTCTGCTTCTTTATTGCTTTGGTAGATGGGTTTAGTATTTCTGCTATTTTTGTCTCCAGCAGCTACTGAGGTCTGTAGGGATTAGCAAATCAATAAACTGTACTAGTGATCTTCTAGTTTCCACTGGTAATTGATTATTAAACTAGTGGTTGATGTTTTAGGTTTTTATCTTGGTAAAAATGATAAATTTTAATTTACTCTTGGGTTCTTCACTAAGTCATTTTGTGAGCTAACAAAATAAAATAGCATATTTGCTTCACAATTCCCAAGTAAGGCTAGTTAATAAAATAACTGAATCATTCAAATAACGTATTGATTCCTGGATGCAGGTTAATCTGTATAAAGATATTTGTTATATTTTTAGCCTCTTCCATTTTAATTTTGATATAACATTAACCAATATTAAAGACTGATGATAATTAGAGAAAAGCTGAATTGCCCTTTCCCTCTAAGCTAGTTCTATAAATAGACACAGATTATAGTTCAATAAAAAGTTACATGATTGAAGAAATTTATAATATACAGTAATGGCACTTGAAGCAGTATATGTCTCTCTTAATCAAATTAAGCTACGAGTTACTTCTGTTTTATAATTTAAAGGGAAGATCTCATATAATATATACAGTTCTGTAGTTATTTGAGTGACAGCCACGGTAGAACTAAATTTAAAAAAGAAGCCCATCACACACACAAACATGGTCCATGTTTCCTAATACATTTGATACTATAATTTTGCTCTGAAGTGATATATAAAATGCACCTTTAATTGATCAATTCGCAAATTAAAAAACATCTAAGAAATCACATACCTCTGTGGTTAGTTGTGTGGCTCTTGATGTAACATGAAGATTCTTATTGTCTTCTGTAGCAGCATCAACAAGGATACCAGACGTCAGGGAGATCTTCAAAGTTTGGTGGTTTTTAAATAGTTGTTCATTTTTCTCTTTCACTGATTTCAGGTCACGTTCCCATTCTCTGGCTATGGTAGCATTTCTTTCCTCAAACTCTGTAGATTCATTCATAATAGCCTATTGAATAGTAAAACACCATTATAACTCTAAAATGAATTACATATAAAAAATACTATGAACACTACTAGAATTCTAGGACAAGGCACGTGCTGAAATTCATCATTTAGAACATCTTAGAACAGTACTTTAAAAGAATGTGAACATTCTTTGTGGTTTGCATCAGTTCCTGAAATTTCAGAAGATGCTGCATGTTGATGATGAGAATAAAAGAAGAATGAGGACTGGAGAAGATTTGTATTGATTTGCAAGATGATAAATCTCGCTTTATTGGATCAGCGCTAACATACGAAGTGGAAATCTGCAGAGCTGTGCAGGTTAAAGTCATTATGTACGTTACGACATTTATAATGTCATATACAAACATTAACTGACACGTAATGGCAGAGCAAATCCAGGAAACTTAACAGCAATCTATTTTCCTGTTTCATTTCAAACCTCAGTGTTTATAGGGAAAAGAATTCACTGACTTCTGGTAATTAATCTGAAAATCTTGTATTTCTGTGCAGGGACTAACACTCAATCACTACCCTTCTTTACACTGAAGGCTAACTCTGAAATTACTCATATTATCTTTTTACTTTCTAATTCTTAAGGGATGTACTTTTTGCTTTCATCATTAACGCCTTATTGGTTTTATCTATATCTTTAAGGCACTTCTATCAGACTTGGATGCTAAATTAGTTGTGTTCTTGCTGGCATTCTGGGCTCTCCTTGGTTCTGCACTACTGACCTCATACCGTATAAAGGTATCAATTCCTATTTTCAAGGTGCTGGAAGAAGCCATATATCTCTGCTCATCCATACAGTAGGAATCCCTACTTTCTACTCACAAGTAGGTCCTCAATATTACAAGAAAAACACTGAATTTTATGGGGATTATCTTATTCAAATGTTGGTTTTTATGCTTTTCCTCTGTTGATTGTGGACTTTTTTTTTTTTTTGAAGCAGCTCATTTACTATTTTGCTAGCTTGAGGTATTCAACAAACGGGAATATCCACAGGAAAATATATTTTAAAGAATATTATCTATACTTCAGTGTGATTTAAGTATAGTTTTCAGATGAAATTAAAGTGTCAAAAAAGACCTACCCAAACATATGAAATATGAAACCAATTTTAGAAGCTCTTTTTTTTTTTTATTAACATATAATGTATTATTTGTTTCAGGGGGACAGGTCTGTGATTGATAAGTCTTACACAATTCACAGTGCTCCCCATAGCACATACCCTCCCCAATGTCCATCACCCAGCCACCCCATCCCTCCC